ACAGAACAAAGCACATTGCTCTCCGCTACTTCCTTGCTCGTGAGCTACAGCAGCGTGGTCAGTTGCGACTTGCGTACGTGGCCTCTGAGGCCAACACTGCTGATGTCTTCACCAAGGCACTTCCGCCTTGTGATCATCAGCGCTTCTGTACCCAGTTGGGTCTTGTGCCTGTCTTACCTCAGTTGCTCTTCTCTTGACCCTCTTTGTACTGTTATATATATATGTTGCTGCTCTTGCATGTTTAGCCTTATATATATATATGTACTCCTGCATGTGAACTGGCCTTGTGGCCTTGAACTTGTGCTCGGAATGTGTGGTGACGTTGTGATCCACCCTGAGCTTGCTTTGCTTTGCTTAACTTGACTGGTCTTGTGACCCCTACTTCTCCCCCACTTCGCCTATGGGGGTGTGTCAAACATTATATATGTTGTTGTAGTTGTTTAGGCTACAGTGGGTTAGCCTATAGGGGGTACACATTTCTAGGGTTTCCTACTTGTACTCATTTTCATTATTAGTTCATCCATTCTTGTTCAACAGCAGGACGCGCCCCGAGCAGGAAAAAAAAAGGGATCGGTGGGCCCTAGGAACAGTTCCCACGTGGGAACCTGAACGAGAATGAATGAACTATGAATGAAGTGTGTACAAGTACTAACCCTAATTGGGTTGCACCCCCTATGGGATACCCCACTACGGCCTACACAAAAGCATAAGCTATAATGTTCTGACAATAACCACGCTCCTCCGTACGTCTGGTAACTCTTCAGCTTCACCCTGATTGACGTTCAGCGCGTTTCATCCAAGCGATGAAGCACTCGAAGGCGAGAGAGCGACAATCGGTGTTAATAGCCCAGACGTAGCGCGTATACTTTGCCGTCAAGCCCTTCCTAGCTGAGAATCATGAAGTCGTTGTAGACCTTTTCGAGAGGTTCGTAGCATTTGTAGCCATGAGGTAAGTCAGAAAAGGGCTTGTGGGCGAGCGATGCGGTGGGGCGGACATGCACGGCGGGTTAGCTAAGTCTGCTGTGAAGGAACCTCCTCGGGGGAGCATCAACGCGTCTTCGTCAAAGACTCCAGCCTTGAGGGAGTTTTTGAGCATGACGTGTGAGGGATGTCTGAGTCGTTGATGCCAGGTTTCTGGGTCTGGTTGGTAGCTGACTGTCTTGTGGTAATATTTGTGCCTTTCCACTTCGTCCTGCTACCCGTCTTCAGGTCCTTCATCGGTGGCATTGTCCACATCGGTTGCAGAGGCTCCGGTGGAGTTTTCCTTCAAGACGGCGTCAAGAATTCCAATGATGTCGTCTGTGTCTCCGGCGTGGACTGAATAGCCCATGACAACAGTTGTGCAAAAGATGTTGCTTCAGGCCATTCGGACGTGGGAAGTCCCTCCATTGGAATGCGGTTGTAGTGGTGCTCGATCAACTGGGGTCCTTGCTCTGGCGGTGGCGCTTCCTCGCTAGGTTCGGATAGTTCCACTGCTCCTCCGAACTCGTAGGTAATTTGTTCTTATGATTCCTCCTTGTTTCTTCTGGTGTGTTAGGAGCGTACTGATCTGGAAGAGGTGGCCCTCCCTAGCTTGTGCCACGCATTGCCCAGTACGGGTCTATCTCGGCGACGGGTTTGGGGGGAAGACCCAGAGCTTCTGGGTACCCCCATTCGTTGCGAGATGTGGAGGTTCCCCAGCCTCCTTTGGCTGGAACGCCTGCCGGTGGTGATGGTGGTCTCCATCCTCCTTCCTCTACTGGTGGTTGTGGCACTCCCCAGGCGCCGACCTAAGGAGTTGGAGTGGACCAGGTGGGTGAGACTGGTCCTGTTACGCCCCATCTAGTTTCAGCGGGTGCTCCCCATTCTCCAGTGTCAGCTTCTGCAGTTGCTGCCTGCCGCTGTCCTCCTTCTGTTCCATTGCTGCAGTTATGGTATCTTAGTGGAGGTTGAAGCAGATGGGACGGCACGCAGGCGAAGAAGTCCGTCCAAAGCAGGTCACTCAAGGTCCATCTCATTAGGGTCGGACCAAGTTGGTGCTTCGGTGGGAGTCGTCTTCAGAAGAAGAGTCCATTCGGAATCGCATGTCGTGCCTTCCGCCGTGAAATTTAAAACGAAGACTCCATCGTTGTCAACTGCCTTCCCGATGTAAGTGTTCTTGTAGAACAGTTCAAATCTTCTCTCCTTGCAGTTGCTTCGAATGTCAACTCCACACCTCATGAGTTGTGCTGACGAGAGCAGGTTGTACTGCGGGAACAACCAACACGTCTCCGATGTGAATGGTGAAGTGGGTGTCCATGGCTTCGAGGTAAATTTCTCTGGTGTCGTACGCTTTCAGTCGGTTGTTGTTGGCGACTGTGATTCCACATGGTGGTCGCACGTGCCTTGAGTCGCGGATGAATCTTGGTGATCCTACAATGTGTTGCTCGTAGCTGCTCTCGAGGTACCAGGTGTTGAAGTTTTCGAGGCTCTGGCGTGCGATGCCGGCAATCTTTGGAGTAATGATGCGATCAAAATCTCCGGAGTACGGCAAGAGGTCGACATGGTTTCTTGTGGGAAAACTGGGGGGAGACTCTGGTGTACTCGGAAGAAGCTCAAAGTCAGGTGAGACATTCATTGTTTCGCCCCAGATGTTGACCATGGGTTCATTCTCTGAGGTTGGTGTGATCGAATTGATCGGAGTGTCCGGAGGAAAACTGATGTTGGTGTTGTAGTATCGAATGCCTCTGCGAACACTTCCGCGACATGTTACTGTAAACTCAGGGGGTGTTGGAGCTGGAGTTGTGGCCATTGGAGGTACTCGGTCTGGCAGTGCTCTTTCGAAGGTTGCTCGAGGTGGAGGTGCTGGCACTAGAAGTGCTAGTTCAGGGAGTGCTCGATCTGGAGGTGCTAGCACTAGTGGTGCTAATCCTGGGGGTGCTGGAGCTGAGGTGCTGGCACTAGAACTGCTAGTTCTAGGGGTGCTGGAGCAGGAGGTGCTGACACTGGAGGTGCTACTCCTGAGGAGACTAGAGGTGGAGAGGCAGGAGCGGCGCCCACTGCGCCTCCCCACCGCTAAGACACGTGTCTCCAGGCTCTTTGCTAGCTTGAGCGCAAGGAGCAGGAGCGGTAGGAGCAGGAGAAGAAGAAGTTGCAGTACTTAGACCAGCAAGAGCAGCATGAGGAGGAGAAGGAGCAGCACCAGCTGCAGCAGCACCAGCTGCAGCATCAGCAGCAGCAGCAGCAGCAACAGCAGCCGCAGCAGCAGCAGCCGCAGCAACCGCCACTTTTGCAGCAGCTATTCCCACCAGTAAGTGGCTCTCGGGCCCTTGGCTATCCCTCCTCTCCTCCTATTCACTCACAGTCTCCTACCGTGTACGGTCCTAGGTTTCCTCCTCCGGACTCCGCTCCGGTTGTTTTCTATCCTCTTCAGTCACAGTCACCTCCTCATGTTTTCCCTCACGACTGGACCTCTCGTTGTCCTCCACGTGCTCGTCCTTCGTCGCCTTTTGTCGACCTTCGCACTGCCTTGTTCGTTCTAGCCCTCGCCATGCTCCGCTTGTGTTTGTTGTGTCGCCACCTCCTGAGTCATCTCTTACTGTCTCCTCTCACCCTATCACCGACTACTACCATGCTGCTCGCCCTTTTGTCACGCGTGTTCTCGCTCTCTTGTCACGCACCCACGTGCCTCTACGTCGTCCGTCTGGCTGCTCCTCCAACCCGTCCTCTGTCTCCCGGGGTTGAGCTTGCCCTTCGCTATGACGTCCTAGAGGACAGGCGGTTTGAGCTGGAGTTTTTGACAGCCGCTTCTCCCTCTCCTGTGCCATGCTGCTTTCCTTTGGGGGAGACCTAGACGCCCTTGATATTCCGATTCCTTGCACATAGCGTTAGGCAGTATCAGTGCAGTAGGCCTCTTAGTGGATGGCGGCATGGACTCAGGGATGGCATCTCAGAGACCCACATGCACCTAGTTCTCCAATCCAGGATTAACGTAATCAACGGCATGTGGATCTTCAAGGTGAAGCGACCACCTGGATCACCGTCTGTCTTCAATGTGCGCTACCTGGCTAGAAGCTTCAGTCAGCGTGAGGGAGTTGACTTCTTTCGGACCTTCGCCCTGACCCCGAATATGACTACTCTTTGTGTGTTACTTCACGTAGCAGCACAGCGAAACTACGAGCTGCACTCCCTCGACTTCTCCACTACCTTTCTCCAGGGCCGCTTACACGAGGAGATCTGGTTGCGGCGTCCTCCTGGCTTCACTAGCACTTTCCCTCTTAAGATCCAGTGAAGCCGGAGACGACCAGTCTACGGTCTCCGCCGGGCGCCCCGTGAGTGGCACGACACGCTACGCACCATTCTGGTTGACATCGGTTTCTGCCTTTTGTCCGCCACCCGTCGCTATTTGTTCGCAGATGCTCCACGTCGACGACTTGGTCTTTGCTACAGCAAACAGGGTTGCTCTGGCTAAGGTGGAGTCCGATCTGCAGAAGAAAAACACGTGCACTAACCTTGGTGAGCTGCGCCGCTACCTTGGCTTGCATATCACTAGGGAGAGAGCCGATATTGGGGTTTTTTTGTCTAAAACAACATACGGCATGAAAAAGAGAAAACAAGTCAGAAATATAGTTGGACAGACGAATTTCGTTGAGACCCCTGGTACAAACCCATGCATCAATTTCGTCTACCTATTTTCGTTGTCGGATATAGGTCCTGGGGGACTCTCTACAGTTTCACAATGTTAACTTGAACTTTTAGGTGGCTGGAGTTTTTCCGGCCCCGGGTACACTTATTTATCAACGATCAATCTATTTTTCTAGGGTGTACAGCTCAATATGGGGGTCTTATATTCGTAACGAAAAACACCCCTCGAGCGGTGCGTCAGATTAGTGTCAGAATTCCAGAATTCGAGTCTGACACAAATATCGTGTCAGAATTTGATTCTAAAACAACAGCGTGTCAGAATTCGAATTGTGCCCTGTAAAAGCTGACGCGCAATAGTGTTTACAACTACTGTATTCAAAATTGGGGTCTCAAAATTGTTAAGCGCAAAGGGGCCCTCGCAAAACTTACCAGAGTAAGTCCCACTGACCAATAGAGACTCCCAGGGGGGGCTTTTTACTGGTGTATCCTGTAGCCGGAATAAAACGGTAGTTTCTATTATCTCACTACACCATGCAACCAGTATCCACCCTATCGAGAAATGCCCGTGATTGATTATCGGTAGGATTAAGTAGTATACCATATAAGAAACGCATGTATAAAATAAGAACGAGCATATCTCTAGGCAGCTTAGACCACGAAATACATCACAGGTACTGGCTGCTAAGGGATTGTGTACGGACTAGCGCTTGTACGGTATCACTAATTAACCGAATCCAATCATACCCTTCATTGCTGGTGATCTACATGCGGGCTGGATTACCTTAGGCATCGACATCCCCCCCGAGACCACAATTTCTGCAGTGAGCAATACAGCACAGCACAGAAATGGAAGCCATCAGCGTTGCTGACATAACAGTTCTTGCATGAAAGATGGAAGCTCCTTCATAGAGCTGCAGCAGACTTATAAACGTATCACATGACGCAAAACAAAACCAAAACAAATACAGAAACGAAACAAAAGCACAGACGAAAGCAGTTCAGTTCAGTGTGAAGCTCAATTGCTGCCCTGTATTGAGCTATGGTGGGAGAAGCCTTACCGAGGCCTTCTCGCACGGAGAGGTTGGGGCGGATGATGTCAGACTCAGGCACGAGGAAGGTGTCTCCAATGTACACGTGGTTGGTGGGCACATACACACTCACCAGCTCCTCCTGCACTCCCGACTCCAGCTGTTATAGGGAGAAGGAAACTGGGGGGCGAGATGAGCTGGGAAATAAGAGCAACCATATGGGATCACGATACTTGGAAAGATACGGGCGCGGAAAAACTTGTAAGCGTATAGGAAGATTTGGATTGGTGATGTAGAAAAGGCTAAGGCAAGGTGCAATTGGGCAGCTGAGGGCACAACAAGCAGCGACGCGGAAACTCCTGAAGGGTGGAGTTAGGCACCAGAGGAATGAGGTTGGGATCATGAAAGGAGATCGAATGCCAGGCAGGCAGCACCTGTAAGGTGCTATTGGGCAGCTGACAGAAGGTGTGGACAGCTGAGGGGTGAAAGCATGGGAGGACGAGGGCTGAGAGAGAGAGTGTGAGCACCTGAGGGGTGAGAGGGGATGTGGGCACCTGCACCTGAGGGGTGAGAGATCACGGAAGCTGCGGGACTGGGGGCACCTGAATCGTGAGAGTGTGGGCACCTGGAGAGTGAGAGTGAGAGGCAATGTGGGCACCTGAAGAGTGAGAGTGAGAGGCAGTGTGGGCACTTGGAGAGTGAGAGCGAGAGTGAGAGGCAATGTGGGCACCTGGAGAGTGAGAGTGAGAGGCAGTGTGGGCACCTGGAGAGTGAGAGTGAGAGGCAATGTGGGCACCTGGAGAGTGAGGGTGAGCGGCAATGTGGGCACCTGGAGAGTGAGAGTGAGAGGCAATGTAGGCACCTGGAGAGTGAGAGTGAGAGGCAATGTGGGCACCTGGAGAGTGAGAGTGAGAGGCAATGTGGGCACCTGGAGAGTGATAGTGAGAGGCAACGTGGCCACCTCGAACATGACGTTGGAGGTGATGAAGGCAAAGGCAATTCTGCTACACGCTTTGGGACGCCTCAGAAGGAAGTTTACTTTATTCGAAAAGTGCTCAGAGGTGAGAGAGTGGGCACCTGGAGGGTGACGTTGGAGGTGATGAAGCCGAAGGCGTACTCGCCTATGCGCGGATGGCGCAGGATGGCCACCTCCTTGAACGCATTCACGTTCTGATCTGCAGGGGCGGAGATGAGATGAGATGTGAGGGGTGCAGAGAGATGCACATGCGTGCATGAGAGAGGACGGGCGAGGATGGCGCAGGATGGCCACCTCCTTGAACGCATTCACATTCTGGTCTGCAGGGGCGGGCAGAGCAGCAGACAGGGGACCACAGGAGTCTGGAAGATGGCTCAGGAACACGAAGAGACTGGAGGCACCTGGTGCTGAAGCCAAGGTGGTGGCATTTGAGGGTTGCTTTATGAGCGGCATTGATGGGCCATGCATGACAACCACTCAACTCACTCCGCATTCCCACCCACCCACCCGGCGAGATGGCGTTGCTGATCTGCTTGGAGGCGGAGTAGATGTGCTTCATGAGCGGCATGCGGTGGATGATCCACTCGCCTATCCACAGCACCGACGACCCCACCCATGACGACACGAACACACCCACAAAGAAGATGAAGGAGATGGTCGTTATGAACCCAAGACCTGTGAGAGAAGTGATTTAAAGGGAGGATAGGCAATCGGTTCATGAGACACAGCCCGACAACCCCACCCACGATGACACGAACACGTCCACGAAGACAATCAAGGAGATGGTGGGGATGAATCCCAGGCCTGTGAGGCAGGTGATGGAAGAGCGGCATGGGCACTCGCTTCATGAGACACAGGATTCGCGGCCCCACGACCCCACCCACGGGGACACAAACGCGGCTGCATAGAAAGTGAAGGAGATGGTGGCGATGAGGCCCAGGCCTGTGAGGCACGTGATGGCGAGGCAAGTGCAGGGATGGGGTGGGATTTGAAAAGGACGACCAGGGAAAGAGTGAAGGGGGGAAGGGTGGGGAGGGAGGGGGGGGTTGGGCAAATGAATTGGAGTCACAAAGAAAATGTGGGGGTGCAGTTGGGAGGTGCGAGGTGGGCTGGGGAGTGCGGGGTGGGATGGGTTGGAGATTGCACTACAGAGCCACCGACAACGAACGAACGAAACGATCGCATTGAACCTCATGCGTGACCCACAGCAAGCCTGAGCCCGAGGACAACCCTGTAACACTGGAGAGAACGAGCCACACTCGAACCACTCACCCAGTATGTCGATGCCATACACGTGGCAGTATGTAAGGCAGCATCGTGTACACATCACACCTTGCCAGCTCATCTCATCCAGACCTTCAACACTCACCCAGGATGTCGATGCCATAGACATGGCGATAGATGGGCGAGAAGAAGCCGTCCACGAAGGTGAAGAACCACCACGTCATGTAGAATGTGATGGCGATGGGGAAGAGGATGGCGCTGGGAAGGGGAGGGCGGGAGAGGGAGAGGGAGAGGGCATGTGTTGGAATAGGGAGGGCAAAGAATGCGTCATGTGTTGGATGGACGAAGGTGAAGAACCACCACGTCATGTAGAATGTGATGGCGATGGGGAAGCGGATGGCACTGGGAGCGGAGGAGAGAGAGGGAGAGGGAGGGAGAATCCGTTGGAACACGGAGGGAAAATAATGCGTCAGATGGTAATGGGAGATGGACGAGGGTGAAGAACCACCACGTCATGTAGAAGGTGATGGCTATGGGGAGAGGATGGCGCTGGGTGGGGGGAGAGAGAGTGACGGGGAATAGATGAGTGGAGAAAGGAAAGAGCAGCAACAGTCAACAGGCCATGTGGAAGGCCATGACGATATGGATTAGGTTGGTGCTGGGTGGAGAGAGGGTTCGTGAGAGCACGTGGTACAGAACCGAACAGCACAGTGCTTGGAGGGCAAAGGCGTGCGGAACAGAATGGAGCTGGACGGAAAGAGGAGTGGAAAAAAAACGCTTCAAAGAGGAAGCAAAGAGAACAGGAGGGGAGAGCCTTACCATCCACTCATGAACCGTTTGGTCGCCCAACTGTGTAGGACCGCGAGGAATGCCTGCGAGACAGCAAGAGAGAGGGGAGACAGCGAGAAAGGAGGGTTACAGCGAGAGATGGGGGAGAAGTACACGCATCGCAATGTGATCGCGCTCTCAGGACAAGCCTCGGAACCATGAGATGTGCGCAGGAGGAGCCCGCGAGCGCACTTCGGTGCTAACATTGCATTGACATCCATCGGTGATAACTGCATGGACATTTGGTGCATCATCGTAACCGTCTGACGCTGCAGTGGTCGGATTCATTCCCGCCATTCAATCATGACCATCCAGCACGTACCTAAATTCACTCCCGCCGTTCGATCTTGACCATCCACGTACCTCCTTGCCGCTCTTGTAGGCTGACGACGGCGTTCGCCTCGCGGGTTCCGGCAGTCGCACGCTGTCGTCCACGTCCATCGCGTGCGACGCGTGCGAACTTGAGCCAGCCAGCAGCTTTTGCCGGTCGTCAGGCACGCGCGACGTTGGAATGAGTTTCTCCGCGTCCATGCTCGAAGCGGCGGAGCTGTTCAGGCTGTTGCTGCTGCTCAAGCTGCAAGTGCTGTTGAAGATGCTGCTGCTGCTCAGAATGTCGCCAGCGCCCGAAGAATGATCGTTGGCGAAATTAGTGGAAAGCGATCGACGGAAGGCTCGCGGAGATGTTGGATTTCTTTGGTTTTCTTTCTGCTCGCGCGAGCCTGAAGGTTGTGACATAGGTCACGATCAAGAATGACGTTGCCAAATGCGCACGGCGGGCTAAAAACGGAACATTTAATCTGATTGATTGCACTAGATTAAGCCCTCAACAGGTCACCCCGCAAAAAAACGAGAGGCGCCGCAGCAGATTCTCTGAAGCGAAACAGTCACAGAAGACAACACTTGATCGGGGAAAGTAATCTTGCACATGGGGTACCGATTTATCTGAAGCAGCGCGTCCCGGCGCTAGCAAACTGACTGGACGGCAATATCTGAGTGGAATGCCAACCCCAGTGAACGAAAGAGTGAGCTAAGGGCGTGTGTGATTCTATTCTAGGTTCAAAAAACAGCTCGAACTTTGTCTGGTTACCGGCTTCGCTAATTTCGCAAAGGCTATTTGACGAAAGTCTTTTCCTTTGAACACATGACAAATGCGACCTAACTCTCCGAACTCGACTCAAGTCAATTCATAAATGTGGGCGCGTACAGTGAGCCGAACGTGTGTTGTTTTGCACATATATGACGAGTGGCGAATTTGACGAAACCCAGCGACGCAATAAAACCTCCGCCGAAGACCACAGTCAGTATGTTGACGTGGCGAAATGCCTACGGAAAAAATACCTGGTAACCTACAACCCCTACGAGCGGCTCGGCGCACCCCCTATAAGGTCTAACATTCAAATTCGACCTTGGTTGTGTGATTTGACATACCTGAAAATGCTTTGCGCGGTTCAAACTTCACGTTCAGCGGAAGTCGAACACTGTTCGGCTCAAGTTCAAATGCTACATTCGACAAAAAAAAATGTAAACTTGACCAATTTCCAGAATCACACACGCCCTAAGTCACCGTGGCTCTCAGCATGTCTGCTGAAACAGCTGTTACAAAAGAGCCCAGCGGAGGGATTTCCGAGATTGGCCAACGAGGACGTTAGCCAGTCCCAGGACGAGCACGTTCGCAACCGTACGATAGTGATCACCTGCCCCATCCCACGGACACCAAGGACCCCGTTTGACATGACACTTGCGGGCGACCAGTTTCCAGGCGCAGCAAGGTGCAGGGTGGGTGACAGAATCCGAGGCGGGAAGGGCGGAAAACGGAGGGAAGAAACGAACCAACCAACTGCTGCTGCCGCTGACTGACGCAAAGCTTGCGCTTCGGCAGGGTTACATCGCACCAGAGCTGTCAATTAGTTTTGGTTTGGGTTTATACCCGGACAAATCAGGAGGTCAGGTGTTAGGCCCCTTGGCCTAAATCCGCTAAAGATTAGCGGGGTCGACTAAGTCGATGATGAAAACGCGGCGGAAGACTTTGGCGAAGAACTATTGGCGAAATAGGCGAAAGTGTTACTGAGTAATTGAAGAGTTGAAGGTGAATTGGTTGATATTGGTGGATACAAGCAAGGATGATATAGCATGCAAGGTCGAATGTCGGAAAGCACTTCGTGGGACTAGAAAGTAGAAGCAAGAAAGGTAGAATGACACGTGGCACTAGGAAATCTGAAAAGAAAAGGATAAGGATGGGGTTGGGAGTACTCTTCAAAGGGAACAGTAAACACCACTCTAACACAGGCATGTAAGACAGAATTTATTAGCAGGTTTGGGCCAAACTTGGCCTCTTAGGCTTCGGGTCTAGAAATTGGGGAAATATGCAAATGGTAACATTTATGGGGCTGAAAGGAAACTTTCGGCATTCCACACCAGCAACCATTGTTCGCCCATTACTGCTAACGGGGCTTCGCCAACATTCGCGCGCACTATTTACTAAACCATGCACAGTTGGCCTAGCCATGTCGGCCTACGCCTCGGAACTAGGCTGAACCTCGATGCCAACATCGCACTAGCTAGCTCGCACGCACCGTGTAACTATTTGCATGCTTCGCGTATAAGTACATTATTCGCTTATTCCTTGACTCATACTTTGTACTCGTTTTACACCTAGTGCAATCCTCGCTATCTCGTTCCATTCTACTCACAACAAGGGCTCAATAATGTTATTAATGAACTTACGGGGTGCGCAAAGAAAACGAATAACGAGAATATGATTAAGAAGTAACGATACAATGAAAGTGACAAGATTTGAAATAGTAGATCCTAGAAAGGCGGTAATGCCGGGCAAAAATTTCTCAAAAGGGTATCCATTGGTGCATGGTGACTCAGGATGGTTCGGGGGCGAAAATGTAGGCCGAACCATCTGATGTCGAGACTAGGTAGGAGAATAGGTGATGATTAGGTCAAGGGGGTTGGGTAGAACAACATCGAGAGGAATTGTATACCCATATAGCCTACAACCTATAAACATATAAGTTTTGACACACCCCTAGAGGCGAAATGGGGGATAGCCAAAGAATGCAACGCTCACAAGACCAGTCAAGAGAAGCAACAAAGCAAAGAAAGCTCAAGGTGGATCACGAAGTCACCACACACTCTGAATACAAGCAAATGGCCACAAGGCCAGTTCACATGCAGAGTTATATAATGAGAACAATCAGTATAGTGATCAAAATCTAGCAAGTATAAGCATACAAGTGTAAGTATATAGATCACAGTACAAGCAAATTCAAGAAGTGAGGCCAAGTAGGCACAAGGCCTAAAACAATACAGAAACGATGATGATAACGAGGCTAAAGTGCCTTGGCGAATATTTCAGCAGTGTTGGCCCGAATGGCCACGTAAGCAAGACAAAGCTGACCACGCCGCTGCAACTCTCGAGCAAGGAAGTAACGCAGAGCGACGTGCTTCGTCCTGTGCTCCAGTCTGTGTTCCCGACACAAGGCAATCATGGCCTTGTTGTCGACGTATAGAACTGGAGGAGAACGAGGCGGCTCTTCCAGGTCGGTCAGCAGGTAGGTGAGCCAGCGTAACTCCTGTGCAGCCATGGCCCCTGCGTAGATCTCAGCCTTACAACTGGAACTGAGAATAGAAGACGACCGGGTAGACCGCCACGAAATGGAGCCGGAGCCAAGGCTGAAAGTGTAACCCTGTGACGACCGCTGCGTAGCCAAGTCGTCAACCCAAGAAGCATATGCGTGTCCAGTGAGGACAACTGGACCCTGTCCTCAAAGCACTGGCCCCAAGCCCGTCATACTGCACAAGTAGCGCAACAACCTCTTAGCGGCCTTCCAGTGCTCTGGTTGGTGTCTCCCGGGCGCAACGTAGCATGACAGGATGCTAAGAGGGTAAGCAAGGTTAGGTCGAGTGCAGGTCATCATGTACATGAGGTAGCCCACAAGCTCTGGATACGGGCCACTTGGCTCTACGGACTCGTCCGAAGGTGGAGCTGAGAGCGAGTGACCATTAGGCAGAGGAGTGGACTGTGGCGAGGGAGTACTGGAAGTTGAACCATTAAATGACCTGCTGCACCATGTGTGACTGAGTCAAGGTAATGGTGCGCCGTGCTCTGTCCCGGGTGATCTGTAAACCAAGATAGCTACGCATCTCACCCAGGTGTGTGCACGTGTGTCTCTTCAACAGCTCCGACTTCACTAGGGCTAGTCCCTCAGTGTCAGCTGTGGCAAAGACCAAGTCGTCGAGGTACACGAGGATGTAGAACGGCGGCAGCGAAGTGTCGGTGCGTAGAAACAACAACGGGTCAGCAGTCGAAGGAGCAAACCCAGGAGCCGAAAGTGTCGTCCTCAGTATGCTGTGCCACTCGTGAGTCACCTGGCGAAGACCGTAGACTGGCCGCCGGAGCCAGGTGGGCGGCGCAGCCAGATCTTCTCGTGAAGGCTGCCCTGTAAGAAAGCTGTGCTGAAGTCAAGAGAGTGAAGCTCGTAGTCATGCTGAGCGGCGACGTGCAGCAGCACCCGAAGAGTGGTCATCTTCGGGGTAGGGGAGAAGGTACTTGTTTCTCATATTGCAACATTCTCAACTCTCCTCTCTTGGCACAAATTACCTCGACTCCCTTGACCTAGGCTATTAAGCCTAGGCCCTAAACCTTAACTACCATTCTTGTTCAACATGGTATCAGAGCAAAGGTATCGGGTTCGAATCCCGGTGTATGCACATGTAGGCCGTTGCCGCTGTGCTCAGTCCTGGGCCTCCCAGTGTGGGGGGGTGTCAGAAGTGTCGGAAATACTATGTGTGGCCCCTTTCTCCTGACTCCTGCCGACAATGCCTGTAGTCCACTGGTTCTTCCTTCCCCCCCCCTTTCTCTCCTCTTGGACTCCTCTCCTCCCAATCTCTCTTGCTATCGCTACTGGGGCACTACCAACGCCCTATCTGCTGTATACCGTGTGCCGTGTGACAGCGCTCCATCGTGATACCTCACTCAGAAAACCTCCTTCCCACTACTGGCTGACAAGCTGGTTCCCTAGCGTGCTCATGACTGCCTGCGACTGGGTTAACAGGATTACATTTGAGCAAAATGGGAAACATTCAACGAAGCAGCCAACACTAGGGTTTCAGCTCTGCTATGTACAAGACGACCCTACCGCACTAGCCTAGCGCTTCTAGCATGCACACATCACATGGGCGAGGCTCGGGGTGCCGAGCGGTATTTGAGAAGAATTGAATGAGAATGAATTGACTATGAACGAAGTGAGTACAAATAGTAAAACCCTAATTGGGTTGTACCCCCTATGGGATACCCCACTATAGCCTACACAAATAAGTAAGCTATAATGTTCTGACACACCCCCATAGGCAAAGTGGGGGAGAACAAGGGGTCACAAGACCAGTCAAGCAAAGCAAAGCAAAGCTCAGGCTGGATCACAAAGTCACCACACATTCCGAGCACAAGTTCAAAGGCCAGAAGGCCAGTTCACATGCAAGATCATATATAGAGATATACAAGAGTCAAGCAAGCAAGAGCAAGA